TTTTAAACAAAATGCAGACTGTGCCCCTGGTTATGTTCTGAAACGTGAAAGGATATAATTTACTGAGCAGCCACATCTCTCTGACTGCAGACCAGGGGGATTTGTTTCCACAGGGCAGGACATAGAGGGTGGAGTGGAGGAGTCGGGGTAGGCACCTGACTGTTTCTGATCTGTCCCTGTCATGCTTCTGAGAGGCTGTTGGACTAGTGTTAGAGCATGCTTTTCATGGACAGAGTTGATTGTTATGGATGGAGTGCTGTCCTGTTTCAGAACCAGGTCAGAACCGGTAGGAGAAGGCTTGGAGTGGAAGTGTTTAAAACAACAGTTTTTTTAACTGTTAACAGTTTTAACTGTTAACAAAAATCAAACTGCACTGTCCTGCAGTGGATGATTATCAGCTTCAGTGTGGCTCCCCAGTGGACACTGTACCCCTGCTGAAAACAACATTGGTTCTGGCCCTACCTTCAGCATGCCAGAATCTCTCCACCCTTCTTATTTTTAATCATTGCTGTGTTTTGCTCTGATGGGTTTTGCTGGCAAATGTCTGACACAGCTTGCCTTGGAGTAAAGTTGATGTTAAAGGCTTGCACATTTATTTGAGAGAAAAAGTTGGTTTTCGTCCTGTTCCCTCCTCCTCTATTTCCAAAAAGTCTGTGAAGGCTCCAGCCCTGTCTTAATCCAAGCTTCCTGCAATTGGTGCAACCAGTGCACTCCCTCCAGACGTGTATGCCAGATGAATTCGTGTTCCTTGGGGAAGGAACATATGCATCCAGGGGAGTCCATGTGCTACAGAGCATATGCTGTGCATCAGTGTGGTAAAAGTGAAAGGCAGTGGCAAGCTGGGATCAGTGGAGTGGCTGTGATGAAGACAGCACTTAGGCTGAGTTGTTACACCTTACACCCTGCCACTCAGTGTCAACTCTGAGCATCACTTCTTTGCTAGCAGCTGGGCTAATTGCTCGGTGCTTTTACTCCAAAAAGGAAAGTGCTAACAGGCGTTTTTTCCTTGGGATGAAAGAGAGTTTTTTCTCCATGGCTTTCAACAAAATGAAGAGCATACCAAGGTTTAAGACATCATAAACTCAAATTCAGGCTGAGGTTTCCACTTGAAGGTGTAGTTGGCTGGGACGGTGGACCACTGAGATATGAGGTGTCTGTATAATTTTCATTATGTTACTGGCCTTGCTGTGTTTTCCTGGAAATTGCAGCCATTCTCTCAGTCAAACATTACTATGTATAGTTTCAGTTTTGGTGGGACCTAGAATGGGAGATGGGGGCTGTAAGTGAATCTAGAATATTCACAAACAGATCAAGTGTGCTAAGTGCTGAGCATGGCAAGATTGAGATAGTTTGACATTGGGAGCTAAATCGCTGTAGAACTGATCTATAATGGACTAAGTGAAGAAAACAGTATAAAATGCCTAGCAGTTACAGTATATTACAGGAAAGCTAGAAAGCCTGGCAGAGCTTAGAGTCTACAGCTTACATGTTTTATCTGTGAGCTTGGAAAGCTGATAGAAAGTATTGCATTTACCACAGTAGCTGCTTATCAAATTCCTGTAATTTCTGCTAGATATGGTGGTCAACTTTGGTGCATTCCATGTGGTTGTGGGGATGCTTTGACAGAAGGAGAAAGGATGCATCAGGAGTGTGTTGCTGGGACAGAAACACTACGGTCTATAAACCTGGTTTCTGGCCAAAGCTCATGTGCTGTGAGACTAAAGAGGTCTGGAGTTTTTTTATAGTTCTGTTTTCTGTGTTTACAGATAGCAGAGATTAATGTAAGTGTCTCTAGATTAAAATCAGCAGCCATTGCTGGACAGGCAATTACCAGCAAGATCATTACAATCCCTTTTAGCCTTGAATCTAGGATTAGAGGGAATATAATCTATTTTTTCAGCCTGTGATTTTCAGTGGAGGTTTCTCATTTTTACGTGATAAAGAGTAAAGCTGCATGAGAAATCCATGTCCAGCCTTGCTTTGCATCACAAAGCCCTTTCTTAGCACTTTTTGTGGTGGCAATGGTGCTGTGGATTCTTTATGTGTAGAAACTGTAGACTGCAGAAGAGAGACCTATTTTCAGCCTTGGTTGCTTTTAGCTCTTGATTAGAATTCATCATAAGCGCTTTACAGAGGGAGGCAAGCATTACTGAGTTGAGCAGATTAGTAAACTGAGGTATGAAAGGAAATTGATGGACCTGGAAAGTGCTGAAAGTAAGAAGAGACATCAGTCTTTTCCCTGAGTAACACCACTTGGACCCTGCTATAATATCCTGCCCTGAAGGCAGCTTGCACAGTAGCCATGCACAGGTCATCTGCATTTCCTAAGCCCTCAGTGATATGAGCACTGAGTCTTCAAACTACCTAAAGCCGCTTGAGAACTGAAGTCTCACTTTTCTGCTAAGAATCTATAATTTCCCCTGAACAAGAGGCTTATGTTACAGACAACCTGTATTGATTTGACAGCCTTTTTGTACTTGTACTTTTTGAGTACAAAAAGTACTCACTTAGTACTTACTTTTTGTACTAGGTACAAAAAATACTTACTTAGCCCTCCCGTTGTATTAAGTAATAAGCAAATCAACTATCAGAATTAACTACTGGAATAGCAGAAGGAAGCCTCCCTTATTCTTCAGTGCATTTGCGGGCACCCTCAGTCAGTGTGAAGCTTTAGAATGGAGAAGTTGGAAGATAGTTTTTCTTGTGCAGCCCTGTTGACTAGTTTTGGCAAACAGGGGAAGGAGCACACCCTCCCTCTTGCTGGGTGTTCCTCCTTTGCATCCCAGCCATGGCTCCAAGAGGCAAAGCAGAAGCTGGGAGCTGCTGTACTGTTAATCTCACTAAGTGGCAGATGCTGGTGCTTCCTTTCTTTCTAAACTTTTGGTGGTTTGTGGTAATGTTGAATCTCGTAGTGCAGTAGTGCCTAGCAGGGTACAGATGTTTCTTGTCAGCTTTGGCCGTCTTTCAGGGCTATAAATACTACCTTTAATAAAGAGCAGTGGTGAAAGAGGGCTGTGATATATAGTGAGGTGAGGCTCTGTGAGTTGGCATGGCTTTTGAAGCAGCATTTTTACACTGAAGACTCTGTAGATTTGTTAGCTTACCTGGGTATGCTTTGCTCTTGTCAATTGTTAGAGATGGGAATTTGGAATGAGTCGTGCCTGATTTGAATGGACAAGGTGTTGCTCAGGGCTTGTGTCAGGGTACTCTGTTATTAGCTTTCTTCACAAGTTTGGTATAGGCCAAATTTAGAGAATTTCAGACATTTACTAGTGGCTTTGGATAGGGCCAAGGAGGCATTTTCCACAACAATGATGTCAGGAGGGGCTTTTTTCTTTTCTAGGATGACTGATGGCCAGTAATATTAGTGTTGTTGGAATTGTATTTACAGTATTTATTTCCTACTAGGCATTGAGACTGACTCCCTTTTGTTATAGCACCATTTTATTTACACTGAAATAATTGCAAACCAGTGCAAATCCCCAGTTCTTGCAGGAATCGGTTTCCCCAGATACTTGATAAAGAAGTTGTACTTACAGGGTGAATGTGTGATATTTCTGATGTTGTAGAAGCCCTGAAAGGATGGAAACAGAGGTAAAATGGGCAAATCTCTGTTCTGTACATGTTCTTCTCTTAAACCATGCATGAGAAGTGAGGTAGGAAGCAGGTGATGATTTGTGGCATGCTGAATACCTAATTTTTTTCTTTTAAGCTCACCTTATATGAAATCTCATCTTGAGGAGTTAATGAATGACTAGCAGACATTTGAGTAAATGGCTAGACAATTGTTACTGGAGCATAGCGATCAGTTGTTTTAACCATGGCTTGTCAAGTCTGAAAATTACAGTGGTATGTGAAACTGTGGTATGTTGTTTAAAGTGCTGTGTGTACAAAGTCATCTTTAACTCATTCCACTGTTATCTGTCCTGTGCATGACCCTTGCTGTTCATTCATTATCCCTGTGTAAACGGCATTTTAGTAAAAATAATTTCTGTATCGTATAAAAATATAGAAATAAAAATAGAAAAGCTGTCAAGTGCACACACACACATACACGGAATTGAGATTTTGCAAAAATTTTCATGCCAGTGTCAGAGAAAAGTTTCTAAAGTTAAAAGTCTGCTTTTGTGCAGGGGTGTGTATATGGGGGTGTGCTTTTTGGTGCAGTGGGCTCTTGCTTCTTTCATGGGAGAAGCAAAGCATGCACACAGCTAAGCCAGAGCTCTCCTATTGTATCAGAGGTGGGAGGAATCCGTAAGTGCAAGATTTATCTGAAGTGCTCTGAGATTGCCATGCTGAGCATTTTGACTTTCAGCAGCTGTTGAGGGAAATAATTTTCACCATGAGGGAGCAGGAGGGAAGCAAGGAGTTCTCCAGGCTGGCATGGGTGGTTTGTGTCTCTCATAATCCAAACTGGGTTCCTTGCTCTGAATCCTGCTTTTTCTAGCAGTGCCTTCCCATGGGATGTCCACTGCTCATGGGTGACACAGAAGCCACTGAGAGTTCTGGTGATATTGTTTTAGATTTAAGGACAACAGGGAAGAATGAGGAAGGGACTTGTTCTGACTCAGCTTGGAGTAACTGATCACCCTAGCTTAATTGCTGCCTTTCTCCTGGAAAATGGTTAATTTCCCCCTTTGAAAGAGGCCTCTTCAAGCCAAGCAAGCAATTGGGTTAAAAAATACTAATGCAAGAAGCATTAGTGCAGTTGCAGTTGTAGGCTGATAATAGCAAAGAGCTCTTTCTGAAGTGAGCCCAAGTTGACGATACTTACTTACTTACAGTCAGAAGAAAGTCCATGTTGTTTGTCTGTTTGTTAAAAACCCTTAACTTCTGCTGACTACTAAGTCAATGTCCCAGTTCTACACTGCTTCTTCAATTAAGTGGATTTTGTTAACATTGTGTCATCTTGCCTCTGTACAGTTAATTGCTAGCTGTTCTAAGAGGAAACTCTAATGTTATCTTATTTTTCTTCTTTCCATATTTTTTTAATCTCACAGCAATGTTGACCTGCAGAATGTGGTGTTAGATTCCAGTGCAGCCATGGGGAGCAATGAACTTCAGGAAAAAGATGCCACTGGAGCCCTTGGCCATGACCTCAGCAATGGCAGCAGCAGCAATTTGGAAGCAGCCAGGCGCCTGGCTAAGCGCCTCTACCATCTGGACAGATTCAAACGCTCTGATGTGGCAAAACATTTGGGTAAAAAGTATGTGCTGATATGAGGACATGCTTGGCCACATTCTTCTTGATGGTTCTGGCGGGGCTCACTCTTGAATGATAACCTTTACTTATTTCTTCGCTTTTCTTTAGCAATGAATTCAGCAAGCTTGTGGCCGAAGAATATCTTAAATTTTTTGACTTCACAGGCATGACACTGGACTGTTCGCTCAGGTACAATTCCATTTGTGGACTTCATATTCTTATTTTTTAACAATGTTGTTTGCAGTGTTGTCCTGATTTACATGGTTGTCCTTTTGGGATATAAGAAGATGAAGAGAGGACTGTGATGTATTTTGGGGGCAGAGCTTTCCTCTTCTGTTTGGCTTGGTGTGCTACCGTACTCTAGTGCTACTGGAGTGGTGGACACGTGGAGAGTGAAATATTTGGGTGGACCTCCCTAGGGATGGTTCTTGAAACACTGGAGAAAAGGGTACAGTCACTGGTAAAACAGGGGACTTGTCGTCTGCCAGGTGCTAGTGAGGAATTACAGTGTTGCTCGTAGCTGATCTGCACAGACTCTGGCTGATGCCTTTTAGAGCTTACCCTGCTTTGCTGCAGTGCACTAAGACCTGGTGGTGTGGTTTGGCAGCTCCCCGCTCTGTGTCTCCCTGAGGAATCCAGAAATGTGCAGAACAGCAAATGCTTCTATGTGGAAAAAGCTGTAGTGAGGTTGGTAACTGTTGGCGTGGGTGTTTGAAGACCCAGCCCTTCCACTTTCTTTGCGTTTTACATTGGAATCAGACCTCAGCAACATTTATTTTCAGTGTTTTTTTTCTAGAAGTCAAAACACTAAGTTTGTCTAGCAGTGGTCTAATAGTACAGTTGCTGGTGTTCTGGTGTTTAAGGGGATTTAAATGAGTTTAGCTCATTTGACTGAGGTTACTTAAGTGGGAATTTTTTTTTCTAATGAAAATCTAGAAGACGTGCACACATTTCTTAGCCCCTTTGCAAATGCATTTCTGGGGGTCTGATGCCATTAGACCATAGCAGATCAATGGTACCCGCAAAAGTCCTGCCCACTGAAGGCAGTGGAACATGCCTGCACAAACATGAACTGCCTGATCCTGAGGCAGGAGGAGTGGAGCCAAGCTGGAGCACCCACTCAGTGTGGGGTGGGAGCTGCTGGGCAGTGGTAGGTCTATTGCGCAGTTCAAGGTTTCAGCACCCCTGAAGCATGATGCCAAATATACCCTTCTTTTAAATTGTGAAATCCAACACATAATTGCTTTGTGGCACATATTTAGGAGGTCTCTTCTCCCTGTAGATCTCCTGTTAATATTAGTATTTAGGACATCCTCTAAAATGTGCACAGGCTCATGTGGGATTTAAATAAGCCGAGGGGTTGTTGAGGTTTCAAGAGTAGCAGGTAGCAGCAGCTGGGGACAGAGAATCGTTCCAAAGCCTTAGGAAACTGAGGCATGCTACCTCATGCTTGGCAGAGAGTGAGAGGAAACAGTGCTGTGTTGCTGGCTCACTGAGAAGCTGTGGTTTATTGAGCATTTTGAGGTCATCTGCTGAGATCTACCTCCCAGCTGTGTGAGGCTGTTGTGCAGCATCAGTGACAAGTCTCAGACCCGAGCAGGGTTGTTCCTTCACTGTCCACTCCCTGGATTCGTGTTGCCCATGCACCTCCTGAGTACATCTCTTGCAGCCTCTGTAGGATGACAGGAGGGAATGTGGTGCTGCTCTGACTCCTCTCAGTGTGCATTTTGGAGTCCAACCCTGGACACAGGGAGAGCAGACTTAAGGCTGCCCAGGGAACTAGTTTCTAAGGTTCACTGGGAAAATGCTTCTGGAGGTGCTGGGATCCATCAGGGCTGGTCACCACCTCCTAAGGGTACAGGGGCAGGCAAATCCAGACAAGGCAGAAGGCTAACTTGAATGACCAGGGATCTTCTGGAGCTAACAAAAAAAAAGTGTTTGTCCAATGGGTGAAAGGTCAGGTGATGTGGGAAGAATACAAATTTGCTGCTCACCACTGTAGAGAAAAAATTCCAGCTGACAAAGTTCAGCTGGAGTTGAACATTGCCAGTACTTGTGTGGGACGACAAATTTTTTTTTTTTTTAAATAAGTCAATAGAAAAAGGCAATGTAGAATGGCTCAGTGCATTTAGGGTCCATGGCTGTGAGAATGATAAACTCCCAGCTGACCTTGAAATTGTGTGGGATCTGTTGCTCCATCTGGATCCTCATGAGTCTATAGGGCCACATGGGATTTATCCAGAAATACTAAAAGAACTGGTTGATGTCATTGTGAGGTCTCTCTTAATGATTTTGGAATGGTCTTGGTCATCTGAAGAGGTCCCAATTGACTAGAAACTGTCTAACCTTCAAGAAGAGCAAGAAGGATGACCCTGGAAACTATAGGCCTGTCAGTCTCAGTTCAGTGCCTGGTAAAATAATGCAGAAAATTATTCTGGGAGGTAATGAAAAATACCTGAAAGACAATGCATTGATTGGTCACAACCACCATGGCTTCATGAGGAAAAAGTCCTGCTTAACCAAGCAAATTCCACTTAGATGATTGAGGGAAGCCAGTTGATGTGATGTTTTTGGATTTCTGTAAAGCTTTTGATACTGTCTCTCCAGGACCCTTCTGGAGAAGATGGCCAGCCCACAGCTGGATAAACACATCATGTGGTGGGTGAGCAGCTGGCTCATGTGTCAGGGTCAAAGGGCTACAGTGAATGGGGTGACATCAGACTGATGTGACCTCTTCCACTGGGCTCCATCCTTGGCCCTGTGCTCTTCAACAACTTCATAAATGACTTGGACACAGGACTTGAACATATAATAAGTAAGATTGATGATACTAAACTGGGCGGAGCCATTGACTCCCTCAGAGGAAGAGAGGTCCTATAGGGAGACTTTGATGAATAATAGGTCTGGGGAACTACCAACTGTGTGAAATTTAACAAGGGCAAGTGCTGGATTCTGCGTCTGGGATAGACTGGGAAATGAGCTGCTGGAGAGCAGTGCTGTGGAAAAGGACCAGGGAGTCCTTATGGAGGGCAAGTTGAATATGAGTGAGCAGTGCCCTTGCAGCCAGGAGGGCCAGCTCTGTCCTGGGCTGCATCAGGCACAGCATCAGCAGCCAGGCAAGAGAGGGGATTGTCCCACTCTGCTCTGCACTGGGGCTGCCCTGCCTCAAATGCTGGGGGCAGTTCTGGTCCCTTCAATATAAGAAACAGACAAAGCTACCAGAAGGTATCCAGGAAAGGTCTACAAAGATGGTGAAGGGCCTGGGGGGGAAGCCAAAGAAGAGGTTCCTTGGTCTGTTCAGCCTGGAGGAGACTGAAGGGAGACCTCATTGCAGTCTGCAACTTTCTCACAAGTGGAAGAGGAGGGGCTTGCGCTGATCTCTTCTCTGTGGTGACCTGTAGCAGGATGCGAGGGAATGGCTTAAAGTGTCAGGGGCTGCTTAGGCTGGACATTAGAGAGAGGTTCTTTGCACAGCAGGCGATTGGGCACTGGGACACACTTGCCAAGGAACTGGTCACAGCACCAAGTCTGACAGAGTTCAGGAAGTGTTTGGACAGCATACTCAAGCACATGGTGTGATTCTTAGGGGTGTTCTGTGCAGAGCCAGGAGTTGCACTTAATGATCCTTGATGGGTGCCTTCCAGCTCAGTGTATTCTATGTTCTCTGGTGGGCAGAAACTCATCCCTGAGGCCCTTGGCTGTAGCATTGTCCTCTGAGAGCAAGGAAACTGCCTTGTTTATTTACCAAATATTCTTTCATCAGTTTCCTCTCCAAGTTAGCTTCCAAGGGGTTAAATGTGCTGCAGAGGAGGAGAAGGTGTAGGTCAGTAGTACCTGGCATGGGCAGGGAGTGTTGCTGGAAGGAACCCAGACTGGGGTAGGAGACAGAAAGATGGCTGATTCTCAAAATGTGCCTTGGGAGCTGTTGTGAATTTAGGAACAGTATTCCCCAATTTAAACACTGCAAAACATGTGCCACTTGCTTCCCTCTCCCCCTCCCTGTGGGGCATCTGGAGAGGAGAACTGGAGGCACAAAAGGCAAAGATCAAGGGTTGACATAACAACAATTTACTGGAAACAGTAAATGAAACAAGAAAAGGAAGGGTAACAGCAACAATATTAATAACAGAGTATACAAGGGAGATGAATGATTCACATGCAAGCATTCACCATGTGGAAACCAGCAATACCCTGACTGCTCCACCACGTTACCTGATCAGAATGGACGCCCTCCCCCTGACAACCTGTACCTGAGGTTGTGCAGAATAACATCAGGCTCCTAAGCATGCTCGTCCTGGCTATTGTAAAAATGAACTGTCCTGGCCAGAATCAGTATGTTTTCCATCCCTTATGCTATAATATCTATATCATGTCCTGGTCCTACACCTCCCAGCTATATATATGTGTATATATATATATATATATATATATATATATATATATATATGTAAATGCAAGCATGAGTATCATTTCCATAGTCAGTAGCTGTCCTTTCAAGATGTCTGTTCAGTTCATTTAGTCCATGACTGTGGGTTCTATCTGTTCTAGATATCTTCCAGGGCAGGAGGGCTGCTTGCTTTCACCTGGTTGCAGTCTGCATCAGGTGCTCATGACTGGTATATCTGGAACAGTGCATATTCATTCTCCATGTAGTTATGGCATACAGTGACAGTGCCATTCAGAAAACAGTATTGTACAATTGAACATTGCAGACCATTCTCACCCAGAAATTGAATCCCATTGGGGTACACCTCATGTTTCCCTGTCCCTCTACATTAACCATCAAGTGCTGTCAGTTCCTTGAGCAAAACCAATCCCATGAATTGAATTGCCTTTGCAAAAAGGTGGGACCAGTCTCGACTGTATTCCCTAACATATTTCTCCTTCATACCACAGGGTCTTCATCCCCTGCTACAGTGCATAGTAATTTTGATTGGGCAGGACCTGCTTGATTGGTAGAGCCTCTTGTATTAACTAATAAGGTGGCCTTTGCTAAATGCAGATCCCCATGTTTGAAGGTGCCACCACCCATTGCTTTCAAAGCCATCTTTTACAGTCTATTGTACTGTTCAGTTTTCTCAGAGGTTGGTGCATAATAGGCAATGTGTTATAACCACTCAATTCTCTGCTCTCTGGCTCATGTGTCTGTGGGGCTCCTTTTGAAATGAGTCCCATTAGTCCAACTCAGTTCTTTCTAGGGTGCCATGTTGCTGCAGAAGTTGCATCTCAAGGCCCAGGATGGTGTTTTGGGCCTTGGTGTGAGGCACAGGGTTCATTTCCAGACACCCAGTGGTTGTTTCCACCATTGTGAGCACTTGTATGGCTTGCCGTGGTGTGTTTGCAGCAGTGTGGTGTCCCAGTTTGCCAGGCTGCCCCATATCTGTGTTTCAAACATCACCCACCGTACCAGAGAGGCCTTACCTGCATGGCCTGCTCAGTCACAGCGCATGTTTCACAGTCATGGGTAACTGAGGGGCATTGCCCATGGTTAAGCCTCTTGATCACAAGCCCACATGTATGTTGTGTCTCTTACTCTGACGACCTGAGGCATCTTGAGCCCACTGAGCCAGAAATAATTTGCTCTCACATTGCCAGTCCAGATTAACCCGAGCTACTTTAATCTTGGTGGTCTGATCCACCTCTCCATCACTGCGATGCTCTTCAGCAGCCTGACTCTTGGGCACACGTGCATCTCATGATGTTCTTCTACAGCCAGCTTCTCTACCAGGGCAGTGGTTTCTTGCCACAATTCATCAGCCCAGATGGGTTTCCATCTGTACTCCCAATTGGCCTTTTTCTGTCAGTCCTGTCACCCAACATGGCATTTCCCACTATCCACAAGTCAGTGTAGAGGTAGATTGCTGGCCATTTCTCTTGTTCAGTGATACTTAAAGCCAACTGGATGGCTTTCAGCTCTGCAGCCTGGCTTGATCCACCTTGTCCTTCAGTAGTTTCTGTGACTCGTCATATAAGGCTGTCTACGGCTGCTTTCTATCTTTGATTTGTCCCTGTGATATAAAAGCAACTGTCAGTAAAGAGATTGTATTCCTTTTCATTTGTAGGTAGCTGATTGTATGGTGAGCCCTCCTCAGCATGTGTCATCTTCTCTGATTATAATGATGATGATGGTAGTCTGAAATTTTCTGCTTCAGGCCAATTAGTGATGACTTCCAAGATCCCTGGGTGATTGGGATTTCCTATTCAAGCTCACTGTGTGGTAATCCAGTTATTCCAGTTACTCTGCAGTGGCATGATGTGTTGCAGGGACTTTCTCTTTGAATATCCAACCCAGTGCTGGCAGCTGGGACCCCAGGAGGGGTTGTGCTTCAGTGCCAGTCACTTCTGAGGCAGATCCAGCCCCTTCATAAGTTGCCAGTGTCTCTGCTTCATTGCGGTTGTAGCTGGTCTCAGATCCTTTGTATGTTGAAATGTTTGTATTCCCAACTCCAGAAAACCAGGGGTTGTCATCAAATCTCCAGATGTACTTTTGCCAGCAACTCCCGGAAGGACTATTTGTCCTGGTTGCACTGTGGAGCATATTTTTTACATTTCTCCTGACTGGCTATTGCATGAGCAATCTCATGTTTAATTTGTTCGAAATCTTATAATTGTTCAGGACCCTGCTTGAAATTGTTCTTCTTTAGTATCACTTGATAGAGAGGTTTTAAAATCTGACTATAATCTGAAATATGCATCCTTCAAAAACCCACTGTGCCCAGGAAAACCTGTGTTTCCTTCTTGATGCTTGGTGGGGTCAGAGCTACCATGTCCATTGGAATCTGATGGCATCCCTCTTGCCATTTGACTCCTAAAACCTGAGTTTTCTGGGCAGGTCCCATGATCTTACCTCAGCCTTAAGGAGGATTTGGATTGTCTTCTCCCCTTTCTCAAAAACTCCTGCTATGTTGCTCTGCATGATCATGTTGTCAATATATTGCAAGCATTCTAGGACCTCACCCTTTTCCTCACTTCTTTTCCAGTGCAGTCTGGATTAGTCCAGGATAAATAATGGGGTTCTGTTTCCACCTTTGGGGAAGTCAGTTCCAGGTGTATGTCACACCCCTCCAAGTAAAACACTGAGGCCTGCACCCTGCTGTTAAAGGAATGGAGAACAGCATGTTAGCAATGTTGATGGTGGCACAACTTCACTGCTTTGGAGTCCAGCTCATCCTGAAGTCCCAGCATGCTGGGAGCAGTGGCACTCACTGGTGGTGTGACTTCGTTCAGGCCACGGTAATCTTTTGGTCCCTGGGCTTACAGACTGACCATATAGGACTGTTAAAGGGTTAACAAGTCTTGCTGACCACTCCCTGGCTCTCCAGTTCAGGGATCATCTCGTGGGTGGGGGTCTCTGAGTCCCAGGTGGTGCAGTGTTGTCGATGGCGCAGTAGCCATGTGGTAGCGATTGTTTATGTTGTTCTTTCACCCTCAGCAGTCCCTAAACAGAGGGGTCCTCTGAGAGACCAGGCAAGGCATTCAGCTGTCTCGTTTCCTCTGTCTCCACAGCAGCTATCCCAAAAATCCTAACAATGCCTTTTTGGGTCCTTGAAATAGCTGCCTTGAAAAACCTACCCTCTTTTAGGGTAACCTATGCTAGGGATGTGCAGGGCCTCTGGGCCCGTCACAGTAGGGTGTTTTTGCCATTCATTTCCAGTTGTGCTCTCTCCACCTTCCAGTGCAGTCAGCTGTTGGGATCCCCTTGGCACCCCAGGAAGAGATGGATTGTGTCCCCACGTATCTTGGTGGCATTAGGGTACATCATGTGCTGGTGTGAGCTAAAACCTTGGACACACTCTTGTGTGTCTGATGTGCCACACAGTCCAATAGATCTGATTGGCTCTATCTTCTACCTGGCTGGGGCCTCTATAGTTCTAGTAATAGTACATGTTCCTCACTTCTTGTAAATGTGAGCTGGAGGTCCCTTCAAGAGGATCAGAAGTAACATCAGTCCTTATTTTAAAAATTAACTCTGTCCTGGCCAGAACCAGGACAAGAGCACAAAGTAGGAAGGCCAGAGAAACCCTGTCAAGATTCACTTATGAATTCACTACTTGTGAACTGGATTATTTGCAATCCATTACATGTGAAATTAAGTTATTACCATGCAGATCACACTCTATGTGGGTGTGAGATTGTTGCAAGTACAGCCTGTCTCTGACCTTTTTTCAGAGAGAAAAAAATTAAAGTTTGTGCATTGAGACTAGATAGATGTGAATGTTTCAGCAATATATTCCATTCCTCTCAGATCTGGTGTTAGTTTCTGTTTAACGGGATGTTTAAAAATTGTCTGTTAGACAGTCATTCTGTATTTCTTACTTCAGATCCAGAACTTTTGTGTTTTTATTATTTTCTTAGAAGCATCCTGATAAATAGATGTAGAAGGTCATCTTTGGCTGTGAGATGGATTCTTTTCTATGTGGGAAGAGCAGCAATGTGGTTAGGAGGAGGTGTGGTCAAGTAGGAGAACAGAAGTGAAAGATGTGTGTCCTCCCTACCTCTCTGCACAGGCTTGCTGGCTGTATCCAGTGAGTGCCCAGACGTGCACCAGCCCAGCCCCTTGGGCTCTCACGAGCAAGAACCTCAGGAGGGCCAAGTTACTCCTCCTGTTGTTGAAACTCAGTGGAAGATGTTGCAAGTCTTCTACCCTTTTCCTCAGATATTTTCAGCAGGTCCAAGTGGTCACACTCCTCCCCATCTGATGTGGTCCTGGCCATTCTAATAAGTGACCACACATTTGGTATTAGCTGTGAGTGCTGTGCACTTGCTTGACTTCACCACCTGGAGTAGATTTTCTGATTTGGAGAGCAGTACTAATGAAGTAAAGTTAAAAGGTGCGAGGTGGGCAATTAGAAGAGAATAGGGAACATCCTGGATATCTTATCATGCATAAAAAACATGTTCCAATTCCTTGCCCACAGAAAAAAAAATTAAAAGTTAGAACAGCTCTTTCAAATGGTGGAATTACTTATTATTTTGTATATTCAGTGGCTGGGACTGATGGTAATTTAAATCTTATTTCATTTACTAAAATGTTGGAATTAACTGCACGTGGAATGATAGCCCAATTTCCTAGAAAGACTCCTTGGAACTGAATGTGTGCTTATGTACTTCTTGCTGTGATGTGTGCTTTGCTCTGTGCACTGTGTGAAGCAAGAAGAGATTTATTACCTTAATTCCACTTTTTTTTCCACTGCTCTTTTAGGAGTTTCTTTAAAGCCTTTTCACTTATTGGAGAAACTCAGGAACGAGAGAGAGTTTTAATCCACTTCTCCAGCAGATACTACCAGTGCAACCCAAATGCCATTTCTTCTCAAGGTAACTTTGTCATACTGGGGTCTCTACGCACATATGTTGTATGCCTGGAAAATGAAAAGTGTACCACACTTTAGAGTCTGTCTCTGGTAAGCATTGAAACCCTCAGCACGAAAGGTGTTCGATGTAAATAGGTCCTCAATATAAATCCTCAGTTGTGGCATCTCCAGATTTGTCCTCGGTTGTAATTTCTGGTCGTGCTGGCTTCAGTGTGTGGGTGCTTGTACTCCAGCTGCACTCATGTGGACAAGAATAGGTCCCGTGTCAGGTGAAAGAGAGGCTGTTCGCTTTCTGTGCTCCATTCAGCACTTGTATCTGCATGCACTGGCATCAGGCATGCCAGTTCTTGCCAGTTGTGGGGGTGAATTTTGGGTGCTGTATCCAGACCCTGGCATGGTTTCATCTCGACTAGCTAACATCAGACATAGTGCTCCTCCATGCCAATGTTTTCAGTCAGTTTGGAAATAAATTATGGAAACAAACAAGCACATAGATCAAACCTGAGAAAACTGGGATTGCAGAAGAGGACAAACTGTCTGTTGGCGTAACTGCTGTGTTCAGCCAGACATGCTGGCAGAGCCTTGTGGCCCTGTGATTGCAGCACATGCTGATCATACACTGAAGGAGGAGGTTGATAAAGAAGGCAATCATCGGTTTAGCTGTACTTTAAGTTTAAAGTGTGAGAAAGAGCTGCTACAGTTGGAGGTAGGCTGCGCCTCCTTACCCCTTGCTTTGTGACCTACCCCTGTTGCAGTGAGATAATGTTTGGGCACTTCGCACCTCTTCAGCTTTACTGGCTGTCAGGCAGGGGAGGGAAACAGTTGGGAGTAAGACAGGATCTGCTTCTGTGCTGTCTCTGTACTCTGCCTATTGCCTTTGTTATTTCAAGACATTGTTGGCAGTCAGGTAGAACAAGTCCATCATGTCCAGAGTGAAATAATGACTTGCCTGATGGTATGGCTGCCTCACTCTAGTCAAGACTACAAGAGGGATATTGTGACTTTGGACCCCGAGTAAGCATTTAAATCCTGCAACCTTAACCCAGGATCTTAGTACTATGTATAGTTTGGGCACCCCAATATACAAAAGATACAAACCTGTCAGAGAGTATTCTGAAAAAGTATGTGAAGATGGAGAAAGGTTTAGAGGGGAAGCCAAATGAGGAGCAGTGAAATCACATAGTTTGCAGAGTCTGGAGGAGACTCAGGGGAGACCTCATTGCCGTCTACAGCTGCCTCATGATGGGAGGAGGAGGGGCAGGCACTGATCTCTTCTCTGTGGTGGCAATGATAGGAGCTGAGTGAATGCCTTAAAAGTTGTGTCAGCAGAGGTTTAGGATGGACATCAGAGAGAGGTTCTTCTCCCAGTGGGTGATTGGGCACTGTAACAGGCTCGCCAAAGAAGTGATCACAGCACCAGCCTGAAAAAGCTGTTTGGACAATGCTCTCAAGCACATGGTGTGATTGGTAGGAATGTCCTGTGCAGAGCCACGAGTTGAACTCCATGATCCTTGTAGGGTGCCTTCTAAACTTGCTTGGAAAGGTTATTCAAAAAGGCCTTAAAGTACTCTACTTTTTTCTGAGTTGGGCACAAAGAAGAACTTGACAGAAGTTCCCAGAATGTTCACAACCAAACTTTCCTAGCAAAACTTAGAAAATCAGGAATTTAAAACAAACATTCAATCAAAATCATTTCACAGAGCATTGACTTAGTAAACTTTATTCATCCAATCTTTATTACCCATATTTCAGAAAACAAAAATTAGGAGTTGAAAAGAGGAAAAAGAGACGAAAAGAAAGAGCAAAAATCAAGATACAGATACTGCCCTGGATGCTAGTGTGGTTTCAGCTAACCCAAGACAATAGGGACACAACCACATGTCCTGGGGTCTGCTCTGGCTTCCTGTGTCAAGCAGCCCCCAGCGGCACTTCCAGTCATCTGGCCAATCCAGGGCTTGACTGAGGCTCCAGGGCAGAGTGTGGGGCATTGCTTTCAGTGTGCCAGTGATTGGTGGCAGTTCTGAACTAGAGGCTTCAGAAAGTGGGGTGTGGAGCAGTGCACCATCCCATTTTCTGCAGAGCTGCTCCCCCTACACACACATATCAGTTGTTTTGAGCCAGTAATAATTTTCTTCAGTCTCTCAGTCCTCAAACGCTGTTCTATGGTTCTGTGAATCTGGCTTATTGCTGAGGGTCTTGGCCACAGGACCAGCTTAGAAGCCCCTGGAGTGGTCTCTACCCAATGTGGAGGCAAGGCAGCATAAGCAGCTGCACTTCTCCAAAATTGGGTCTAATTGAGCTCTGAATGAGGACTAAGGCAGAGGTGCAGAAAACCAGGATACCCACCCCTGTAATGCTGCACCCACTCCTTACACAAGAATGAATGTATTTTGCTTTTCCGTTTCTGCACTGAAGTAAATGAAGAAGGAGGTGTTGATTCAGACTGAATATGGTATTAGCAAGCTAAGAGTGATAGCATGATTTTCTGTCTTGCTTGCCTCATCCATGGGTGCTGCAAGACAGTTTTGATAGTTACTAAAAGATGAAAGAAAGACTGTTCTGGTTTGGCAGCTGTGTGATGATCTCATTGTTAATTTATTTAATTATGTATATTTCTTGATAAAACAGATTCTTATGAAGGGAACAGACTCAATTAGTCTATGAGTCTCAGTTTCAGCTTCTTAAAGGTCCAGATGTGGTTTTGCATGTGACTGGTTATTTCTCTTTCTGCAGATGGAGTTCACTGTCTCACGTGTGCCATGATGCTGTTGAACACAGACCTCCATGGCCATGTGAGTATGCACAGCTTTGTGTAGACTGCTCCTATCCACACCATGCTGGGACTGGGTGGTCCTGTGGCAGTCCCTGGGGTGGCCTTTTTCTGAAGCCCCTGCAGACAGCAAACAGTGAGAAGGCTGCACTCCCAGGCTGTTGTCCTGGACAGGCCTTTCCAGCATGCCTTGATCAGTCATGTGTAAGCAGGCATTGTGCCTGATGTTGCCATAATGTCTGAGAATACTCCCTGACCTTCGGGCCACCTTTCTGGTGTGATTACCATCCTTCCTGCAGCAGGCACTGACCAGGAAGCTGTGCTTGGGATTGGCTTCCCCTTTGCAGTATGTACAAAGATGTGGGAAAGCAGAATAGAGATTGGAGATGAAGAAGTTTTGGTAAGGTCAAAAAAGGGAGGTGATGTTTGCACGTGTTCAGTTGTAGAGGGCAGATCTGGTGAAGCAGTTTTGCACAAATGATGGGTGTACTCAAAACCAAGAGAATGGAGGGGGGATATGGGCATGCTGAGTGGGAGCCCTGTGTTCCTGGACTGCACAGCTCTCCCCGTTGTGTGCCTGGGTGAAATAGTATTCTTGTTTGAGTCCTCTTAGTCACACTGCTGCAGGGTGCCAGCAGCCTTAGGATGGGTATTTCAGCACCCATGGTGTGATACACCTGGTATGCAAGGTATTCCCATGCTGATGAGAGGCTTCCTCTGCCCTGGAGTTAGGAAGGAGTGTGTAAAAACACAGGGAGCATGGCATTATAGTATACAAAAGTAGTGGTTTGAGCCAAGTGGCTCTAGGACTTCTCTCTGGCCCTCCACTGCAGTTGCAAGGGCTCTCCCAGGAGGGTGTCTGTTGGGAACTCTTACACATCAGGGGTTTTGGATTAGGCAGCAGGACATGCAGGCATCCTGGGTCTGTCTCAACGGGCTACTTAGACTCTCTGGTGGTGCAGGTAATAAAACCAAGACTTGAGTGTTAACAAGGCATTCTGAGACCCACCTCTCCATTAACTGAATGCCTTTGTCTGCAGGTTGTGGAAGCAGGAGGGGATAGGGAGTTGTGAAGAATTTTTTTCTCTGAAGGCTGTACACCCCACCCAGGACATGGGGTGTACAGGAGTGTGCTGTGGTTTGTCTCTTAGCACACAGGGCTTCTCTTAAGGACACCTGAGTCTTTCTGCACAGGTATCCCACTCCCCAGAGTGGTGAGCAGCTGGGGCTCCTGCTTTACAGTCTGCCTGGCCTCACCAAATAATGGTAACGCATTAGCCTGGCAGCAACTCCCGTTGCTCCCTGTGATGCTTCAGTAGGCTGAACTGTCTTCACTAGGTACTGGAATAAATGATCTGGCTCTGACCCATCATTGCTGCTGTTGACTCTGGTTGTTGCAGTGTGTAGCTTTGGAAACTTATACCACTGGCAGTTGACAGTGTGTTGTTATGTATATGCAGCTGTAGTGTTTGTGAGACTCCTACTTACATTATGTCTGTGGGTGTGTCTTCATGTTCCCTCAAACCCCTCTGATTTCCTCTAATTTTGGTCTTCCTCTTACTGCTTTGCATTTTTCCACATAGGTGGTAAGTTTGGTGTTTTTGACTTGGAATGCAGCCCTTGCAGATATGCCTAATTGCCTGTTCCCTAACAAAGATAATGCTTTGCCCTATCCTTACCAGGATTTTGCTAGAGCAGGAAGCAAATGAGTCACAGAGCTTGTCTATACACTGTGCTCTATCTGTTACTGACATACTGATCATAAGCACAGACATTTCTATTTTGCATTCAGCTCCACTGCTTGTAGAGCTGTAATGCAGTTGCCCTGCCTTCAGTTCACACTTGCCTTTAACTCTTGGAGACAAATTCTTACTTAATTCCCTTTATGTTCCATATCTTGCCACACTTCTGTTTGTAACTAAACAGTTTTTTGCTAGGTGTGTCTTGGAAATGCATGCTTAGTTTTCTGCACAGAGGTCATCACCCGCATTGGTGCTAGAGAGTTTTGACGTATCTCTAGACCACCAGGCACATCTTCTGGAACCTCTGTGGCACTGTATGTTAGCTTTGATCCTGCAGCAAAACAGCCATTTGTCTGCAATGTTGGCTTTAGTCAGTATAGGGAAGCTGCCAGCTGCTGCTTGGAGGAAATAAATAGAAGTAGGCTGAAGTTACAGGGAGAAAGGGAAGCACTTGTAAGTCTGCTAGACTAGCTCCAGTCTGCACCTGAAGACTGAAGTTATAAGCTGTGTTCTCTAAGCTTTGCAACCACAGAGCCAGAGTTACAGCTCATATGTGTTGTCAGGAGCCATCCTTTTATGGGAAGCCATTAATTGTTCCATGGTTTCTGCTTGCCTTCTTTTTGTGGGTTTGTGCTGGCTGCAGGCTATGAGATATTCCTTATTGGCAAGGTAAGGCTGATGGCCAAGATTTGGTGGTTTTTCTGATCATACGTTGTGGAAGGGAAATAGTGGATATGCACTTCTAGCTGTCATGTAATTCGTAACATCGAATAGCTTGTATTACCAACCGGTGCCCTTCCTTGGGCTCCAGTCCAGTGTTAATTTGGGCTCCTGCTCCTAGCCGAAGACAAAGCTCACAAAGAGCTCTTCTGCCTTATTTCTGCAGACAAAACGTGCCCTGACAGTTTAAAAGTTTTCACTTCCATCTCCTGACTGACAGTGGTGCTATCCCAGAGCCTTATTTTCCCCTCTGTCTATACCACGTTTCACCGCTCATCTCAGGCTGCTTTCCTTTTCTCAGATATCTTTGGTATGCTTTTTCATCAATGCAGTGTTGTAATTATTGCCGGCTCACAGGGCTCCCCACATGCTAAGCAGGGGCCTTCTTGCACCTGGGAGACTGAGTACAGACACTTTCTCTGAGGGTGATGGAGGCAGGGATTCAAGAGTATTTTAGGGCAGCCTCAAACTTCTGGATATAGTTTGGCTCCTACACAGACATGTAGGGACAGCCAAACTGTTCCTTTCTGTTTGTGGCTTATTTGGGCAACTTTCAGTCTGAGACTTAGACAGAAAGAGAGAAAAGAGAGTGAGCCTATGGAAATGTCAAAGCAGCCTCAGCCTGTGAATCAGAAAAGGTAATGGCCATGCCTGGGCATCATACTCCAGCTCACAGCAGTTGCAACTGAGGGGGCATTTGAAATTGTAAGAGAAGGGTCTAGAAGGGGCCTCAGTCATGTGTTTCCTGGTGCCCCACAGCAGATTCAAGTAGAGCTTTTCCATCAGAGACTGGTAGAGCTTCTGGAGACATGGGGATATAAGGCACCATGCTAATACCAGAGATCTTCGTCATTGTCCTCTTCATTACCCCCAGTATTAAGCTGGGTTTTTTTGGGGGGGTGTATGTGGGTCTTTGGGTGCAAAAGTACTTTCCCTTTTCTAGCTATATGCATACAAGGATGCTCATCTATGAGTAATCTCATGAATGTGTTCTTAGTGCTGCCTGGCTTGGGTTTAAAGGAGAGCAGGAAGATGCATTTATTCTGATGTTGCTTGTTCCTGTCATTATGGAAAGCAGCAGGAATATGATGTTGTGTTTCTCTGACACTCCTTTCAGAACATTGGGAAAAAGATGACCTGCCAAGAATTTGTTGCTAACCTTCAGGGGATGAACGATGGCAAAGACTTCCCGAGAGGGCTCTTAAAGGTAAGGAATTAACTGCAGAATGTGAGTTTCATTTCTACAGAAAGATGGTTCAAAACAAAACACCCATCTTGAATGTTCTGAATCTTAGTTGTCAAACATGACAAGTGATGGGCACATTTCTCCTCCCAGAACATACATAATACATATAAGGTTTATACTCTTGTTTTCCCTCTTGCCTTCACTTGTTAGTGAAGGAGACTCTGCAGGACAGAGAGGTGAAACTGAGCTGCGGTAGGTCTCGCCTCAGAGCTGTGTGCTTTGTAAACTCCTGTGGTCATGCCAACCCAGAATGCTGTCTCCTGATTACAGTGGACAGAAGCAGCCAGTTGGCTCTGAATGTGAATACATTAAAGGCTAAGCCTGATCTCTGTGTACAATCTGGAAGGCGTGTGTGTTTTTCATCAAAGGTGCTTTGGGGTATTCACATTAGAGCTGGAGATGTAATTTCAGATTGTAATGTGCTGTCTGGCACAAGCTGCGTTGCTTCAGCTTTTGTTCATTAAGTTTGTACTAGGAGTTAAATCTGAGGAATGGGGGAAGAGGCTGAGCAGGACAAACCTTGTTTTATTGTCAGTAATAATGAGAATGTTTCGCTTTTTTGTCTGATTGCTAGCATGAAACAGCACTTTGTTTAAATGAAGACAGGTGTGCATACACTGGAGTTCATTATTATTTTTTTTTTTGTAATGGAAATAAAAAGAAGAGACTGCCATATCTGAGAGCTGGCCCAGTGCCTGTTGAAGCCAACCAAATGAGTTACCATCTCTTGTGTGAGTTTTGTGTCAGGATCATTGTGAAATACAAATGTATCTGCATAGTTGAAGCAGCAGAGTTTGTCTTTTACTATTGGTAATTTCTTAATTTTCTTGATCTTCTTCAGGGAGATTTTTGTTGGACCTTCCTGCTTCAGTTCTTATTAAGCAATGGGGAATATTAAATTTTAGATTTAATGTCTTTAATTTTTGAATCTGTATATCTGTCAGCAGCCACACTTAAATTACTTTTCCCCCCAAAGGAATCTCATTTCTCTGTTTGCCATAGAGGGATGTGTTGAGAATAATTTGCAGGCTAATTTCAGCCCTTACTGAATAAATAGTTCTCCAGATTGTGTTTAAATAACCTGAGTGTACTGACAAGAGACTTCCAGTGGTGCTCACCTGCTGTTTGTTTTCCTCCTGACAGAATTATGCAGTTGGGGCTGTACTTTCGTGTTTAGTGCTCACCTGCTAATGCTAGGGATGTCTGACTCTTCACCCAAAGCAAATAGCAGGGCTCAGGATTTTTTGGATGTAGACAGACGGAAGAAATTTGGTGTTGGTGTCCCATGTTGCTTAAGGCTTTCTGACCTTTTCTGTGTGCTGCCTTGATGTCTTGGGAACAGAGGTGGCATGCAGCTTTGTTTTCTCATCTGGCTTGTCTGAATATTTGATAAATTGACCCTTGTTTTTTAATTTGTTAGTGCACGGGAGTGGAGTGAATAAATTGTGCTACTGTGTTCACAGCAGCCATGCTGCCACTAAATGTGCGATTACAAAGAATTAGCAGAAATTAATTTTTTGCATTAGTCTCAATAAATTAAATTCACAGTATCTTTCTTCAGCCCAGCACCAAAGTTCATGTAGCTTGCTGCTGGATTAGCTGTGTAGCCGCTGAGCATGGGTGAGGCTGCAAGCCTTCTCCATGCATCCTTGCCTAGCTGCCAGGGAGAGGAAGAGCAGTTTCCACAGGGTGGCAGTGTGTCCCTGTGGGAGTGAGGTCCTGAGCACCCACTGGTGACTAATGCAGACCTGTGGTGAAGCAAGTGGGCTTTTCTGGCTCTGCAGTCTCTCCATGTTGTCCTGGTGGCCCTGCTGCACCCGTATGTGAAGCTCTGCAGCTCTGCTGAGCCCCAGAGCAAAGCTAAGCAGTAGTGGAGGGGAAGGAAGGCTGGGGAGGGCTGAGTGTTCATCCAGGGCTTGTGGATCTCTGTGCAGCATTTATTGTGGATCTAGTTCTCAGATTCAAGGGTGCAAATGCAAATGCTTGTGCTATCCAGGACAGCTGGTTCACAGACATCTGTCAGACATTGCCTTCAGTCACTCCCTTCACTGTGTGGAGTGCGTCCCTGAGTGTTTCGTCTGGATTGGAAAATAGCACAGGGACAGACATCAGCACGTTAGGAGGGACACACTTTTGTGTGATCAGCCTCAGAAAACTTGGGACATTAGATCAAGTTACTCTTTTCTTTCACCTCCATGGGGGAGCTATCTCTATTTTTATTTAGTTTTTTTTCCCAACAATGAGAACACTTTTGGTACAAACCACAAGGCCTTCATGACCTGATTCTCTGTATGTCACTAGTTGTGCTTTGAGAACGGATTATTTCACTCTGGTTTGAAAGTAGAAATGCTAATGTGATCTTGCTCACCTTGTGTCTTGCTGTCTGTTCATTTAACATTGAAAAAGGTTTTGGTTTTGTACATCAGTCTGCACAAAGATTCATTGCCTTTTTCCTCACTCCTTTAGTCAGATCCGAGGTTGCTTTTGCAGTTGGGACTTATAAAGACAAATACACCAAACTGTGATTAAAAGTGCACTTCTCCTCATGGGGTCTTGTTGTAGTAATATATATATATATATATATATAGGTAGAAAGGGAAGCCATGGCTAGGATCTCCCTCCTTGGAAAGAAAACAAAATCAGTCTGACATTTTGGCAGTGTCAAGAACCTCATGATTACAGTGTAGGAGTGGTTTCTTTCTCACATGCTCATACCAGTTTTAATCTTCTGTAGTGATACCGTCTTCACAATTATATGCTAGGGGATTGTACTGTGTGACCACAGCCTTCTTCACAGCTGGGCTTCACAAGATTTTCTGGAATGAAGAGGACATTTGGCTTGGAAAGAGCCTAATTTTGGCTATATTCTTCAATTCCTGAGGGCTGTGTGGTCCCCACAAATAAAGTGCTGGTATGTTACTGAACAATGTTTTCCTCTTGTCATCTTGAGACAAGGTGTGTAGGGGTTCACTCCATGAAGGTGCTATTAATGACCTTTCATATGTAAGGAGGGAAAATGTCTTCTGTGGTCCACAGAGAGCTTGCAAGAAAGCATCACTGATGAAATGGATCTCTGCTTTTGTTAGGCAGTGTTCTGGGAGGGGTACTCTGTTGTTAGGCTGTGTGCAAAGTACCACCTGTCCTGCATAAGTAAATGTTCCCTGCATTTACAGCATCCAGCACACCTCATTCCTGGAATCACCCATCCTTTGACATGGGCTGACTGGTAATAGTGCTGTCCCATGACATGAAGTGGGGAAGTCATACCTGGCTGTGTGTCTTTTGGTAGGACATGGTAGCTCTTCTCTGACCTGTTGTACTATCTGGGAACCTCCATCATGGTGAGGTACCTGGGATGCACTTGGCTAGACTCATCCTTTCAGGGACTGCTGATGGAGATAAGATGCCAATCCAGCATTAAAAATCTGCTTTTTCTCAAAGGGTGTTTTTTGGGTAGGCCTTATCTCCTGCAGAAGCACTGTAATGAAGTGACCAAATTAACTTGGAGTTGCTGGTGCTGAACTCTTCTGAAGAACCTGTCCTCCTTAATTTCCTAAATGATCTGAATTCTTGATTAGGATTCCTGGGATATGCAATTTCCTATAGAAGCTGCAAAGTAGGGTTTATCTCATGTTGCTGTCAGTTCCCTGCACTTTAATTACTGGGTGTTTTTGCCACTGTCTTTCTGCCTTCTCTCGCTCTCCCCCTCTCTCTCTCTTTTTTTTTTTTTTAAATTCCCTTTGAAAGCCCTCCAAAGCAAATACTCAATTTAAAGAGAATTATTGGCATCTTACTTTACCCATTCCAAACATTTCAGGTATTTAGCAGAGAGAATGAGCATCAGGTGGCTAACTTCTCCCTGCACAGCCTCAGGCCCCCTTTACTGAGAGGAGCTCACACTAATTGGACTGCTGTGTGCATCCTGATTGCTCTCATCAACAGTCTCTGTACTTCATCCATTTCATGGTTTTTTGGCAAGAAATTCCCACCTTTGAAGGAAACCTGATGAAGTTGAGAGTGTGTGACAGAATGCCAGGATGGCCCAGGAGGACCGCGTTGACTGCTGTAAAACCCTGCAGCAGTGAGCAGAGGAGGGAGAGGACTAAGTGCCTTTGCTTCACAGAATAAGACAGTGCACTGGCTCCTTGTTTCTTCCCCAAAATGAAGTTTTTTCTCTTAAAAATACTTCTGTTGGAAATAGTATTTTTGTGCCATTTCTTATCTGTATGAAATAGAAGATCCATTACAGAAGGCCCCTTTCAGCTGCTAGGAGACAACAGAATCTAATCTGGTGGTGTAAAAGTTGGGGAATGCAGGATTAAACTGTTAGTCCTTGTCTTAAACAGTTGTTTGTGAAAGCATACTTTCCTTTCACTCTCAGAGGAGCCACAGATCCATGGGGTGACTGTAGGGAACACCTGGCTTGTCTTCACTCTTCTCCATGCTTGCTGAGAACCTTCTTGCCATGATAACCTTGGTTTCCTTCAACTTGGAGTTCTTTGGGTGTTGTCATTTGTCCTGCTCAAGAGCAATAACATTTAAGCATGCCTGTGCAGAACTGAGAATTGGGCTAGGTTATGGTGGTGTGTGTATTGCTTTGTGTCCCTTGAATTACAGAGATCCCTGACACCTTCCTGCCCTGTTGAAATGCAAATATATTTTCTTTTTGTATTTCAGGAGCTTACCTTAGTGCATATAAAAAGAAAAATCTATAATATATATTTTTTATCAAGTCAAACCCAGATAGAGTTGAAGAAAGCCTTACAATAGAAAAAGCCTAATACCAGCTGTCTCTGAGCAGGGAAAGCAGAACTTTAAATAAGGCTTAAAACATAACATTTTTTGAAGGTGATCCAAGAATTAGGATTGCTCTGCATAGTCCAGGGGTGGTACGAGGGGTTGTTTATCTTACTAGAAAGCAGGCTCAATTTCAGGATGTATCTGCTGGATGTTCTGCTTTG